CCATGGTGGACAGAGTTTGGTGGAGCTCCCAATTTAAGACAGGTTTGGAAGCAGGAGTGGAACCCTCTTCCTAGCCAACATGACTCTGGAAATTCTATGAACTTAAGAGAAACAATACTTATAGAAAGGCTTCAGGTCTTTTGTTCACAGGGTCACTACGAGTTGTGTTTGACTTGACATCAATCAACAAATATGACATCAATTGGTACAACATGGGCTTATTTTTATTCCCCACCCACTTCCCAAATATATAAAATGTGGTAATGAATTTTTTCTGAATTGAAATAGGAGAAAACATGAGGCCTGTTTATGTATTTTAAGTTTGAGACAAATAACAGCTTTTGCACTTGAAAGGCAAGTATTCCTGTAACTAACAACACAGCAAAGTCCTATTTCTAATAAAAGAATTATTATATTGGAAAAAAAAAAAGTCCTATTTCTACAAAATAGTTGTCTTGCTTCCTCAGCATAATTCTGAGCACTCAGCGGAATCACTTGAACATAGTGACTGGTTCCAGTAGAGGGGTCATAAACTTTGACACCTCTGTGATAATTGGAAGCACCTCTTATCCATCAGGATACACTCAGAGACCAACAGAGAAGAAGAGCTTTCACACGTTTGTCTACCTAACAACAACAACAACAACAACAACACGTTGCTACTGTTGTTCACAGGTCCTGTCAAACTGAGTATGACTCATAAGGCGTCTCTGGACAAGAGATCTGCACCCTGCCCTCTCCTGTTCTATCCTAATCACCTAACTGCGAGGTTCCTATTAGGTTTATGAATAAGGATGTCAGATGAAGAATTGATGCCTTTGAGTTGTGGTATCAGAAGAGTGTTGAGTATCCCATGCACTGCCAGAAGAACAAGCAGAAATGTCTTGAAGAGTGTACAGCCAGGGTGCTCCCGAGACACAAGCATAGGGAAGTTGATCTTCATCCGACCTGTTTGCAATGTTGTTAGGAGGGACCGGTCCTTGGAAAAGGGCATCATGCTTGGAAAGGCGGAGGGTCAGAGGAGAAGGGAAAGGCGTTCTATGAGATGGACAGACCCAGTGACGGCTATGGTGGGCTCGGGTAAAGACCGTCAGTAGGAGTTGGAGTCAACTCGATAGCACTTAACCACAGCAACAAGTAGACTAATGCAGGCGTTTCTCAAATGCATTCCAAAATTGGATACTAAATTATTAGGGTTTTTAAAAGCTAATATGAAATCTTTTGTGCTGCTAATGAATTAAAATATAACTTTAATGAATGAAATATTATCAAGAAAACAAACCATTCATGACATTGGTCACACCACCTTTCATTTGTTGTTGTTTTTTAGGTGCGCATGAGTGACCATCGCTCATAGTGACCCTGTGAATGACAGATCGGAACTTTCCTCCATTCTGTGCTGAACTCATTGTCAGTCACGCCCTCCCCACATTTCCTGGAATGATGTCTTCTTCCAAGGACTCGCCCCTCCTGACAAATCCAAAGTGTGTGAGAAGTCTGATCTTTCTCGCCTCTACGGAACATCCCAGTAGCTCTTCCTCCAACACATAACTACTCTTCTGGAAGTTCATGGGATACTCAGTAAATGTCACCAACACCAAAGTCCTAACTATGGCAATAACCAGATGGTGGTTCTAATACTGCAGATGGATTCATGAAAGATCCTCAGTGGAGAGATTTATTACATTGTAAAGAGAACTACTGCATACAGACAAACAGAACATTTGTTTAAATTAAAAGTGCAAACGCATAAGTCCTAAATCAACCCTTTCTCTAGGGATTTTGGAAGCTCATGAAAGTTTGAGCTAAAAACCAAATAAAAACACCACAGTGGTACTCTACCGGGTTCAAGAAGCTCTAATTCTGTCTCCTCTAATGGACTCCATTTCAATTCTCCTTGGAGAATTTTGGCAAAATACTTCCTTCTAGTTCAGAAAATTTATTAACTCACAGCAGCTTCCAGTTTATAAAATGCCCCTTTCAAAGTAATCCCACCTCGTGATTTAACCGTATGTGTGCTTAACCTTCCCTAGGAGAAGCTAAGCTTTTCCCATATGTTGGTTTTTCTCTGAGAGAAAAATTCCGTGGGCCCCATCAGCAAGGCAGCATTACTCAGCAAGGGCTACGCTGGGAGTGAGAACGGAGGCAGCGGGCCAAACAGGCGGAGGGTGGATGGTTCAAGGGCTTGTGCCTGGGTGTAGAATGAATGACAGCTGCACAGGACGAATTACCCGCGGGCCCAGAGGGTCAGGGGCCTCCTGGAGCTTCTGCATCTTTTGGACCAGCTTCTTGGTCAGTGATTGATTAGCAGAGCTGAGTGTGGCCCTGGTGGACTGGACCAGGTTGTCACACATTGATGCCCTCATGCTTGAACTTTTGAGCACTCAACTCCTCCGACTAAGGCGCTGGACCAGATCAAAGAGAAGACTCCTGTGGGAATTCCATTCCAAATAAGTTAGGCAGTGTGGACACACTGGTCAGTGGGTGCTCGTGAAGGAATGAGGGGATGGACCACTCTTCCCCTTCCTTGAATTCACTGTACGCCCTGCCCGACACCAAGAGCACCACTAGCCTAGCATTGGGTTGCAGTGAGCACTTTGCCTGGCCAAGTCACAGTGTTCAAAGGGAAAAGGGCCCAGAAGAGCGAGGGGACTGCGCCAACCCACCCACAGGATCATTCTGCCCTCTCTTTCCAGTGTGCTAGAGAGTCTTTCTCTCACTACAGTTTAAACATAGTCCTTTTCACTGCAGTTTTGACACCTGGGTAAGGCTGGGCTACTTCCGGATAGGAAACATAGTTACGGAAGAAATTGACTATGTCAACATTTAGCCATTTCTCGAGGTGATTGGTGGCCATTTCTCAAACTCCAGCCCGCGAGGTCATGGGGTCCTATCCAAGTGTTTAGGCCTTTTTAACATCATGAGCCCCTCTCTTAAATTGCCCCCCCCATCTGTGCGTCCTGACACGTCTTCTGCCCCAGGGCTTCCTTTCGCCACACAGACCCAACGACCCCCAGGTGTTTTTGGTCCCTAGGTTCTTCCCAAGTACATACGTGGACACTCGGATCCTGGCACTGCATCCTCCCAACCCCTGTCATTTCTTGAGCTCAGGCTCCTCTCCCCGCTCGGTTCTGGTGGAATCAGCTCTGCGCGCGGGCGATCATCCCAGCCCCCCCAGCCCCCCTCCCCGTTCCTCGGCGTGCGCTGCGTTTCCCCGAGGACCAAGCCCCCACCGCGCGGGTGGGAGCCCTGGAGGCTGCATCCGGGACCCAGGGACCCTCTGACGCGGGTTCCTCCTTCCCTTATCTCAAGCCGCGGACAGGAGTCTCCCGCCCAGCGGCCGCGCGGGGGGGGGGGCGAGGCAGGCCGAGCACACCCCCGCAGTCCGTGCCGCACGTGGGCCCCGGGCCTCAGCAGCAGGTGCGCCGGCCTCCCCGCGGCTTCCGGGAGCCTCAGGCCGCGCCCCCTGTAGCCCGTCGGGCCCGAAGCCTCACTGCTTAGGTCCCCAGAAGAACTAAGTCGCAGCAGCGGGGTGCCCGGCCCCCTTTGAGGCCAGATCTGCTGGTGGCCCTGAGCTCCACTGCGCATCACCCTTGACCCTTCCCGGGCTCGCTCGGCATCTCGTTTCCTCCGGAGTTGAGCGCTCCGGGGCGCTCGTGCTGCAGCGGGGCCGCCGGGCTGCGCGCGGTGCTGGGGCTCCAGCAAACCTGTGACGCGCGGCGCAGCGGGTCCGGGGCCACCCCGTCCACGACCTCGATTCACCGCCAAACTTTGTCTTCGCCGCGGTCCCCCAGCCGAGCCCCGAGGGAAAGCGCGCTTTGGCCGGAGGAGGCCCGCTGCCCGGACGGAGCACCATCGGGGAGGGCGCGCGCTCGGCCGCCTCCCCGCACACGGTGGCGGCCCCTCCTCTCCACGCCTGGCTCAGGCGCCGCGACCCAGTCGGATCCGCCCGCGCCCCGCGCGCCCCTCGCC